ATTGCTAGTCCCTTCCCATAAGCAGGACAAGGCTCAAGGAAACCCTCATGATGTCTGTCCATTTGCATGAAGGTAGCGTAGTGCTCAGCAGTTTACTCAGTGTCTTCAAAGAGACTTGATAGCGTTGACATGCTCGCATTTGTGTCTGCAAACTCCACTGATTTGCCTTTGTTCGTGGCCAGCCCATGAATGTCTTGAAAAGGGTCAATTGTTTTCAGAGAAGAAGCCCCAGAAATGACTTGTTTTTGGTTGCTTGTTGGGTCTCTAGGACCAGAGTTGTCATTGTCATCATTGATGTATAGCGTTTTTTACCATTTCGAGTCTTGATTTAGTCCGTGTTTTGAGTCGTTTGTCGTGTCGTAGTCCGTCTTTTGCGTCTTTTCGGTCGTGTCTTGAGTCTTTTGCAGGTTTTAGGTGTTAAAGCGGGATACGGATGTTTTCGGGACTTATCGAGCTCATTTGGACCAGAAACGATCGCGGGAATCAAGAAACCGGTGTCGGCAACAAGGGATCGATCGATCCCAGGTGGGGATCGATCGATCCACCACTCATCCGTCGAGACAAAACCACCCGCCAGTACGGGATCGATCGATCCCGCCTCTGGATCGATCGATCCAACACTCATCGTCGTAGCAAAAAGGATCCGCCAGTACGGGATCGATCAATCCCGCCTCTGGATCGATCGATCCACCCTCTTGACGACTCAGTCTGGTTTTCCTTAACCGGTTTTATCTCTCTTTTTCTGTATTTGGGTATAAAAACCCCAGGAACCTAATTTTTCTATTCACGTTCTTTTTCTGCAACTTTTGAGACTTCTCTTTGTAAGCTTTTTGGGATTCTAGAGATTCATCCTCTTTGGCACTTGGGAGAAGATTTCTAAACCCTTGTTCTTTATTTATCAATTCAATTATGCTTTCTTCATCTCTTTGTGTTGTTCTTTTCAATATGTGTGAGTAGTCTCTTAATTGGGTTTTAGGGTTCTTAGTAGAAAGTCAATGGATTAGTGAATAGATTGTCATAGGGAATTCTCTATCATTAGATTCTTCGATTTACATGTTCTTAATGCTAGAATAGGATTGATCACCCTGTTGTAGATTCTAGGTTTTTCTATGCATCAAAAGTGTTCGATAGAATGCCTGAAGGAATGTAAATTGAGCAATGTGTTTCTAACCAACGAAAGTTGACGTTAGAACGCATTGTGAACGAAATGAACCAACTTGTTAATGCGAATTTGATTAGGAAACTACATGCGGAAGTTTAGTAGTTGAGTAGTCGAATTTAGTGGCTAATGTCTTGAAAGAGAGTTAGTCTAGAATTGTGTTCATAGTTGAGAATGGTTCTTCATTTATGAATTCCTCGTTTCGTTTATCCCGCTAGCCATTGTCTTTTGAAATACCCTAATGCCCAATGCCTTTTAATCTTGAAGTTAAATTGTTTAATTAATTTGCATTTTTATTTTACAAACTGAAAACCCGAACAAGTAATCTTTTTAGTTTTAGCTAAGAACAAGTCTCGGAAATCCTTAGAGTATCTTTGGTCCTTGTGGATCGACCTCGAATATACTGCCTAACGGTTAAGTGTATTGAGTTAATTACTCGAGCAATCAATCATCACCAGGGGCAGGAGGACTTTGAGGATCATCAAAGCCTAAAGTGCAGTCCTTGACATCATGTTTCAAAGAACCACATTTAGTGCAGAAACTACGCAACCGTTGAACTTGAACTTCACGATTGTTTCCTCAGCATTGTTGAAGTGAAACATCCTTTGGAAGCGAAGACGATTGTCGAAATTCCACGCCATCTGAACCCTTACAAACTCCACCATGTTGGCATTTTCATCAAAATCCACATGCTTCACCAAACCAATTTGATTTCCCACATACTCAGCCATGTCATTTGATAAATACAACAAAGGGATGCCCTTGATTTGAACCCAAAAGTTGATGATCTTCATCTCCTCATCACTGATGTTTGGATACCAACGATGAACAGCAAGCATCCAGTCGTTAAAAGCCCAGGGACCGCGACGTAACACCAAATTCAAAGCTTCCTCACTCTGAAACACAAATTGGACACGTCCTTGACCCAAAATACGACCCACACAAGAGTCAGCAAATCCCCAAACTCGGGGCATCTGCCCAATAAGGGCTCTTAGGTTCTGTTTTCTAGGATTAACCGTCGTAACCACCAAGGAGAATCGGTTGGCAACAGCCGCACGAGCACAGAATTCCGGTGGTAAAGAGACCGGTGTTTCATCAATTCCCAGATCCAAATCCTGGATCGATTTTCGCAGATAATCACTCATTTTTGCAAGCAATGTGGTAATGATCTTTAGACAAACGAAAAGAGTAGTGAATCGGGATAGAGCAGAAAAGGAATGGAGGATTCCGACATATATATAGTTTCGCTTCCATGGCGGTTTTGGTGAACGGTTATGTGTGAGAAGTTGAAAAACCGAAAACCGAAACGAAAAACTGCTCCGAAAACAAAGCAGAGAGAAACCGTTTGAATCAAAACCAAAAACATGGCGTGATTCTACCGGAAAAACACTCCGAGAAGGAGAAAAAAGAAGATGGGGATGGAGAAGGTTCCAATCGCCCAGAAAATCGCCCCAGAGAACATGCGTCATTCTCGTATCATTGTTTTGTTTTATAATTTAATTAAATTATTTAAATGACATAAATTAGTATTTTACTTGTTTATCCTTAATTGAATGAAATTTGTTCTAAAAAAGATTTTTGTAATGGCATTCTTAAATAAATTCTTACAAAAGGGAAGTTTAGTTAAGGATCTCTTACTAATAAAAGAAGCTCCTTGAGGCTTCTCAAGCCATCCACATCAGCTTCTCAACATTCTCTAACAAATTGCCACGTCATATTACTCTTTTTCTAAATCTTAATTCGTCCCTAATACAGCCACGTCATTATCATTTATACTTCTCTCGACATACAACTTGGCCAACGAAATTAGGGTTTTCAACTAGAGATGATAACGCCCAAGAAAGTTCAACCGTTTCCGCTTCCTACCACTCATCTTATAAATGACACATCTCCCCTAAGTACATCACCGAAGGTTTTTCCCCAACCTTTTTCATGAACAAAGGTCCTTTCATTTGGTTTTAATTTTTCACAGCGCAGAGTTTAGGTACGCTCTCCAAGCATTCTCTCATTTCCTTCGGTCTCAAGCTACTCTCATTTCCTATGGCTTCAGGTAACGTAGTTACGGTCTTACATATTTAGTTTCATTATCTCCACTTCAGTTCGAAAATCTGCAAAGCCTTCTTTGCTAGAGACATCCGGTAACCCATATATAGGTACGATACCACCTTCTTTCTTCTCATTCTCTTCAAGTTATGTGTTTTTGAAATTGGGGCCTGGCCCGTATGTTGAATTCATTTTTATTCTCACGGACATGCACTACTCTTATTTAATTTATTGGTTTTGTCTTATGTGTGGTTATGAAAAATCATCGAGCAGGATGATAAACAACATCCTCACGCTGACCAAATGAAAAGAAGAGGTATGTGAAGAACACATGAATCAGAAAGGGTTAGTGAATCCAGAAGTAAGGGAGAAACAGGAACGAGAGAAGAGACTCTCAATGATATTCCACAGGTTTCTATTGAGTTTAACATTCAGGGTTTGTTTAATAAGTGAGATGTTTTTTAAGTTGATACATAACCATGGTCTTTCATGTATTCATTGGGGATAAAGAATTTTCAGTCAAACAAACCCCTTTAACTCATTAAATTGAGATCTTCCTTACTCAGTTGAACTATATATGTGGATCGGTGGATCATGTACGATGACATAACCAAGGTAAAAGTATTCCACATTTATCACCTATTTTATGTACGATCTTTAGGTGAATGGTAGCTAGAGTGATGTACTTTCTATGTGCTAGAGAGGACACTTGCAATCACAGGTTCTTCTCTACTAAACGTTAAATCAAAAAGAGAAAGAAAAAAAAAACAGAGCAAGTGGAGATCTGTTGCTGACTGTTTAGGAGATCTCCCAAGTACACACTACAAAGGAATTAGAGCGAAAACCAGAGAGGAAGAAATGTGATTTACACATCATGGTTCTAAGAAGTAAGATTAAGTCACTGTCACGTTAAGGATTTTATGTATATATAAATCTATCGAACCTTCTTTTTTGTCGATCAAACTCTATGGATCATATCATCTTAACCATAGCAAAATAGAAGATAGAAGTTAAGAGAAAGATTGCATACATCTAATCCGATGAATTTTTCACCTTTATCCTTTAACGTTAGTGGTTTATAAATATACTTTTACATGAATATAAATATAAAAGATATGTACTCTTTTCTATATCTGTTTTTTTTTTTTTTTTTTTTTTAATTTTAAGGTAAACTGCAATTGAATTGCATTTTAAGCTTGAGATTAGCCGAAGAGCTCTTGGACAGGTAGTGTGACAACTTTCTTTGCTTGCTTCTTTTGGTACCAGAGTAAGACCTTGCTTTTCTACATGTCTTTTACAATATAAAAAACAAAAGTCTACATATTGCACGCTTTATGTTGGGTGTACATTCTTCTAAGTTTGTGTCATAACCGTGGCACAAACCCCAGCCATAAGCCTAATTACTTATTAAAGAGAAAAGGGTAAGATACTTTCATATTTTCATATATACTGGCTTGGTCGGAGAGAAAGCGATAATTTTATAAGGAGATTACTCTATAATTATATAAGATTTTGAAGATATATGGTTACTAATATTGGTTCCATCAATTTCTACAAGATTCTCTTGTGCAAACTAAAAGATTTGTGGGAAAGCAGCAGCAGTAGAAATCCAACATTAACCAAAAAAACAGTATAAGTTCAGATACTCAAATAGCTTTGTTAAAATGGATAGGAGAATCACATAGAGTAAAAGAGTATTTACCAGAATATTTTTGAACTTCAAGAGACAAAGGCAAACAACCAATGTATTTTTGCTTTTACCATTTGTACCACATAACTTTTACCTCGATTTTATGCAAAGAAGTCGATGAATCAAAGATTGTTTTTAAAAAAAACTCTAACTTAATATAACGATCATAGGAGTTTACAGAGAAACTACACAACTGCTGAGATACAAGTACTCCACTACATAAACATTGAATTCAATAAACGATTTAACAAAATAATATATTGATGAATCAAAGAGTTTTACAGGACAAAATAATATGCAGAGACATATGCAAACAATTATATTCAAATTAGTTAAAATCAGTGGTGATACATTAGCTAAATGATAACATACAATATATCATATATGTCGTCAAAAATTAAATTGTATAGTCACATGAAAGAATAGTTTCTAAATGTAAAACAACTTAAACCAAACTATAAGTCAAAGAGAACAGTTTATTATTTATCTATTTTAAAATTTAATGAACATATGTAATTGCCTTTTTTCTACAAAAATCACAAACAATTTCATAATACTATCTTTTATATCAAAATAATAAATCCATAAATAACCTACCCGGGCGTAGCCCGGGATAATTCACTAGTATTTTATAAAGTGTACTCCCCAAATAATAGTATAAGATTATAAACTTCTAATACTAAAACTGCTCCACCAACTAACAGAATATAACCACCATTAAATATTCGGATACTAGATATTTGTAAGACAGTAAGTAATATGAAGAGAATCCAATGCAATGCACTTGACCCACAAACCAAAACATGCATGGCGAATTATTGATTGAAGACTTTTCCCGGAATAATACTACCAAAACTTCGAGACTCATAAGTGCTACACACAACTAAGTCGTCGATGGCTATAAGCTTTAAGTCTCTCGCTAGACAGACTGTCCACAGATTTCTTCATCTTCTCTTTTTTAGCCTTTCTATATTATCCACCATAATTTGAAAACAAAGAATTTATAGGAATGAGTTTTCGATTACTTAATGAGAATACTAGTATATATTTTTAAGTTTTATTTTATAAATTTTAACTAATTTGAAATTAGTTTGACATGAGATAGAATTAGTTTTATGAAATTATGACATATAAAAATTTATATTTAAAGAATGGTTCGTTTTCCAAATTTTGTGTGGATTTTATTATTCTCCTAATTATGTTGTGTAAAATTTAAATTATTTTTTTAATATAATACACATATTATTTTTGATATAAATTTCTTATCTCTTATCCATTAAGATCTAGTACATAGAATTAAATAAAAAAGCTGGCCTTAAAGTAATTGGTCATACAAAAAGTAATAATTCACTTATAGGCCATGTTCGTTTGCTTGTCGCTGGATTCAGCGACAACGATCAGCGACCAGCGATAGAATGTATCGCTAGCGGTTGTCACTGTGTTGTTCGTCTGACTGTCGCTCTAAACAGTCGTTATATTTCTAAAATTTTAATTTAATATATTTTAATTTAATAAGATTAATTTTAACTTAATTATATTTTATTATAATTTAATAAGATTTATTAAATTATATTTAATTTGATTTATTTGAATCTAATTCAGTTTAATTTATTTTAGTTTTGTAAAAATTTATTTAATTATATTCAACTAAGTTTAGTTTTGATTATATTTAATTTAGTTTAGTTTAATTTAATTTAATTTATTTTTGATTATTTTTTTTTAATTTTTATTTTTTGATCGCTAAGTTGTTTGTTTGCATGTCACTGGATTCAAGGACCAAAAGCAGCGACTGGTCGTTGAAACCAGCGACTGGTCGTTGAAACCAGCGACTGATCGCTAAAAATTTCAGTGATTGAAAAATGTGGTCGCTGTTCGCTGGCGGCTGTCGCTGCAATTGGTCGTTGAACCAACGACAAACAAACGAACAACTTTTGGTCGCTGTAGCTGGTTTCAGTCGCCAGCGACAGGCATACGAACAGGCCTATATAGTAGATATGCGTTACCTTATTGGAAAAAAGTTACATCAACGATCAAACTGATCTCTTTTCTGACGTCGGCAAACTTGTGTCACTATGACGAATCAAACCAAAACCAAAACATGCATGGCGAATTGGTGATTGAAAGACTTTTCACCGAATAATAATACCAAAACTTCGAGACTCATAAGTGATACACAAAACTAAGTCATCGATGGCTATAAGCTTTAATTTAAGTCTCTCGCTAGACTGTCCACAGATTTCTTTATCCTCTTTGTCTTTTAGCCTTTCTATATTGTTCACCATATCTTTAAATTTCTTTAATTGCCATCCCCCTAGCCTATATAAAGGCATAAGCATGAGTGACACTAATAAGTAAAATAAGAGGGAATATTAAGATGACATCTTCAATGGTCTCTTCCATGGTTCTCTTTCTCCTTCTTCTTCTTGTGTTTCCGCATATGGATAAAGCCCTTGGCGCACAAGAGGAAGCCCAGAAACAAAGTGAGTCTTTTGGTCTTTTAGATGTTCCGAGGTCATTAGCATCATTTTACGTTATTAGTTAGGTTTTTATTATTTAGATGTGTTTGATTAATCCTGATTTTGGTTTGATTTTTGGAATTTATCCGCATTTGAATAGACAAATGAGCACTAAAATGATCAAAAATTGACACTTATACCATCCTAATGGCTTTTCTGCAGGGATTCCCATTCCCCGTTTCAGATGTCCTCCAAGATTCCCCTTTTGTAGAGGTCAAATAAATCTACCTTCTCCTCCGCCCCACAAGTCTTTCAAAGGCACACAGGAACCTGGTCATTGACCTCACTCTAGCTTCGAATGCGTGTGTCGGTGTGCTTGTTTCTTACATTGTGCTTTCTTTTGTGGTTTCTGTCCTTGCTTATCTATGCATGTGTTTGTCAGTTTTTATCGAACCGCCGCTATAATAAATAAAACTTGTATGTCCTTTTGTGTTCAACACCGCCTCTCTACTTACGTCGGATCATTCAAACATTTCTTAACACTTGGCACTAGAAATACATCTCAGACAGGCTAAACCATAAAAGGCTAGTATTTATATATTCATAAAAAGAGAATATAAAAAAATAAAAAACATACCGTGAAACAGACTTTTTAACCCTTAAAAATGAAGTACGTACGTTCATTAAAGCCTTAGATGAAATGAATAATGACGACTTCTTCCCCATATCTCAAGGGAACTGATCTAACTTTATTTAAATCAATTATGGGAATGGCAGTATTTCCCACAATCATTGTCCATTTGGGACTCTTTGTCGGGCCTTACGTAATTGAGCATTTCTCAGGTGAGACAAAGACTATTGAACTTAAACTTGCAGCAAGATTTAAAAACATTAATTATTATTCTTAATGTAGTTTATGTGCTCGATAAGACGGAACGCTTTGATGACGTTTCAATTCATATGCCTCAGCTGAAATCATCTACTACACTTTTCTTTGTCCTGGCTAAAGAAAACAGAGTTTTGTTCCTATCGTAATCTTTTCTATTAGTTCCGAACTGCTTTTTCTTATATCGAAATTGTAAAGCCCAAAATAAGCTCCGAGTGAGCCGTCAGTGTAAAACATAAATAAAAACATACTAACACTTTCACCAAGTAATCTAAACTTTCTTCTTTTAAGCTCGTTGTTTTTGTTTAAGTTTTTTTTTTTGTGTGTTCTCACTTACTAAAATTACAATACAACCGTAAATACAAATTTTGTCCAATTAAATTAATGTTAAAAACTTTTATATATATATATATATATTTAAAACTTCTTACACTCATTTTTATTGGTTATATGCTAAATAGTAAAATCTAATTGTTTTTTACGTTTTTTATGTTTTATGGATGTCAAAATCTAATTGAAGAATAATATACGTAAATTAGCATATAATTATATTTTTTTACGTTTTTTGTTATTATATTTTTGGTTAAAAAAAAGATTAAAAACAAATTTAGATATACACAAGTAAATAATTAGTATATATATATATATATATATATATATATATTTTAAATTAATTTTCTTATTTCATAAAGAAAAAAAAAGTCAACATTTTTTTTATATATATCAACATATGATCGATAAAGTTTATATGTGTCGTGATCACGTGAGCAGAATAAAACTTGGTTTTCAAAGTTAGTAACTCGCATGATCTTGACACTTTTCCAATATGTCGATCAGATGTTGATATGTGTTGATTTAACTCTTTTTTCTTTAATTTAACAGAAAAAAAAAACTGAATAGATACATATTTATATATATTAATTTATTTGTCTGCATCTAAAAAATTTAACTTATATTTCTCTTAAACAAGAAAAAATCTAACAATTTTTTTTACATGTGTTATTAGTCAATTAAATTTGGCATGTATTAAGTTTTTTAACAATTCATTTAGCATGGATATTATTAACTAATAAACAATGACTATTGAAGTTCAAAATAACAATATAAGTTATTTAACATATATTTAATTAGATTAAAATTGTATCTTGTGATATTTCTAAATACACATGATATAACAACACATCTTATTGTTGATTGAATAATGTGCATTGCAGAGAAAATTTGTCAAAATATAATTTTGCCACTAGTTAAAATTTATTATCGATATATAATAATTGATTGATGGATAAGAATTCAAATGGATGGCTATAAATCAGTTTGCATATTTTCAGACATATGATTTAAGAAAAACGAAAGAAAAAAAAAAGATAAACTAGCTACGTTGGATAAGAAAATGATAAAGTTTTAATCTATCGGTTGGTGACATGTGAGATCTAATGAATGACATTGACAAATGTTCTTAAGAAATGTGTACTAAATCCAAGAGTTGAAGTGAATTGTATGTTATTTTTAACCATTGATGCTTAACAGTTTCTAAAACTCTAGTGTTATTGAAATAGTGATTTGTAAAACTATTTAAAAATCAACCATTATTGAAAATATTTTAAACATTATGGGGGATGTATTGGATTAGAGATTTTAGATTTTAAATATTTTAAATATTTTAAACCTTAAATCACCTGTTATTCAACTAACAATTTTTAAATGACTTTCCAAATCTTATGTTATTGGAAATAGAATTTATGCAAAATCATTTACAACCCCTTGTTATTCAATCAATGATTTAGAAAACTCATATCAAATCTACTGTTATTGAAAAAGTAACAGAATTTTCAAAAAGGGATTTTGAAAAAGATTTGAGGTGACTTCCATATACATATTTAGTTGAAAATAGAGGTAAAGAAACTCACACTATTTTAATAAATATAAAAATATATTTCCATGATAAAAATATTAAACACTCGAGAGAATTGAAGATCCTCTCTCCCTCCCTCCTTCCATGCGACTCCACCATAGGCAAATTCTCATTCTCCAACATGAGCTCCGTAAATGGAAATTCATAGATGGGTTGAATTAGCAAAATCAAATCAAATAATTAAACTCGTTTTCTCTATCATCAATCTGTCTAATTCTTAAAAGGATTGTGTTAAAAATATTTTGGTCTGAATTGGAATGATTCACAAAGATGTCAACAAAAAACGATCTAAATTCCATGTTAATGGCTAACAAGGGATATGGCTAAAGTACTTGAGAGTGCTGGAAAAGGGATGCAAGCCTCAGCTGATTTATGGAACATCTTCGTCTTCATCATTGGGTAGAGATAAAAATAAGGTATGGATGAGTGATGAGAGGAAGGTTGTGATGTAGTTAGTGCAACAGAGTTAAAAAAGCTAATCTACAACAGAACTATAAAGTCGTTTCTTGAGTTATCATTAATCATTTTTCTCTAAAAATCACATATTCACTTTGTTATAAGATTCAGAAGAAGAGAAAAAAAGCTCTAGTTCTATTCGTTAGTTTTCTCTATGACTGAAATATAATCAAACTTAAAATCCCCAATTAAGAACGATAGATTCTTGGTTCTACTTCCAGAGTCTTCTATCAACAAACAATAGCAATTCAACTCCAATTTCAAATAGTGACTGCAAAATAATGTCAAAAATTTAACCAATTACGTAGATATTTTGCAGACTGGTTGCCATCTCGGTTCCGTACACAACAAAATACTTTTCCAGCGTTATCACGTTGGTGCTAACTGCTACGGTGATGGTCAGCACCAAAGGCAAACACTAAAACAAAGAAGTGGTAGGGAAATGGCGAGGGTTAAGAGTATATGGTAATTTATGGTAATTGTTTTATTTGATGTCAAAGTCACCCGTAGCATTCCAAAATCTCCCGAAATTCAGTATAGAAAATCTTACCAAATCAATGATTTTCTATTTTATAGATCTTAAAATTCACTGAATTTCTCTGAAATCACTCCAAACCTAAAATCCATCAACTCTCCTAAAATCTCTAATGCAATACACCCCCCTATATTTTTAGTAAGGGATTTTAGAGGAGTTCATTGGTTTAAAATGCAAATATCTATATCTAATGATTTAAAGTGGGATTTTTCAAGAGATTTACAACAAATGATAACAAATTCATCAAATTAATTCACCAAAATAATCAAAATCATCTAAAAACTCATTGAAACTCAAATTTAAAATATAAGTTTGAATACATACCCTAATTTTTATTTTTAATCATTTAAATTGGATTTGTTTGATATGATAGTGATAGGATTTCAATCTATCGGTTGGTGATATGTGAGATCTAATGAATGACATATATTAAAATTTTAAAAGTTGTTGTACATAGTTAAATAGTAAGATGAAGAAAGTATCTTAATTAACGAAATGTTTACATGTCTCTTCAGTTCTAGTTACACTATTTGTGCTTTTGCTTCTCATATATTTCAACGTCTTCTATAACGTTTTCACTAAGTTTTCACAACATTACATATGTCGCATAACTTAATTGCAACTAAAAATTCACTAGTTTGTCAAAAACACTACATATGTTGATGATGATGTTAAACAACATGACAACTAATTCACTCAAGGACGTGATGCGTCTAGTGAATTGGTATTGCATAATATATGATGATTCAAAACAATAAAAAAAAATCAAATAAATATGATAGAATAATCATAATTCTTAATTTTAATAAAATTTTCTAAATATCTATACTATTATTTGTAGAACATTATAGTTATGATTTATAATTAATGTTAAATCTTTCATAGTTAATTATTAACTGAGTATCAATATGAGCAAGATATTCGTAAGCCTTCTCATAAGTACTTGTGCCAAACCCCCGAGAAGGACATAAAAAACTAAGTTTCCAGAGAGCAAGAACATTTATAAAAAAGCATTCTCTAAATAATTACTAAGTAGAGCAAACCTTATAATAATCTATGGACCAACCATCATCTTCTACTGTTTTGCTCTAATTGTCATTTTGCAAGAGTTAGTACGGTTTATCTTTTTTTCTTTTGAATAGATGTTAAATTATATTCAAAAAGGAAAAAAATCAGTTTTACAACTTAATGCATACATTTCATGAGAACAGTTTTTAGCAAAAGATTAGTCTTGGCCTTGTCTTAAGCTAAACCATAATTGCAGACCTCCCCCGTACTTTGATATCCCACCACTGCGAATTGTGCTTAATCTGTTGCGGATGTTTTTGTCGATGAGCTTGACTAGCTTCCCATCGGTGATGGTTGTTCACCATGCCTCCTAGCGTTTCTCTCCCCCCAAATCGAGTGAATCGTGTTATGGGACACATACCTTAGGATGAATACTTTTGTTTTGTCCTTTTTCGTGTCACATATGTGTTTGAAAACCTGCTTCCAGTTCGCCGAGAACCGGTCGTGAAGAATTCCTCTCTCAACATCCTGCCATATAGTCCGTGAATAAGGACAGGAGAAAAAAGTTGATCCCGTGTAGATCCTGACATAGAATGCAGCTTGTGTTCGCTTGTCGGTTCCACGATAGCATTCTGTCTCCCGTGGTAACTCTGTTTTTAACAATTAACCAAGTGGTAAAAACATACTTCGGGGTAGCGAAAGCAAACTAGATCCCTCTATATCCCTCCATCATTGGCTTGACATTTTTGTAACCTATGATGAAAGCAGTTTAGAACATAAATATTTGTACAATTATGAAACGCACTAATTCAAAGATAACGTACATATACTTACCTTAGCAAAGGATGTGATAAAATCCACAATGAAGGAAAGCTCTAGTAACTTTGACCAAAAAGTGTACAACAAAGTTATAATAGACATTTGATATGAGAACCATCGTGATTCTGAACAGTAAAGATTAATTAGGAACATATCATTTATCTTATAAAGCACAAATCACTTGGCCAATCATATTATGACATGTGGCAATTTTGTCCCTAAAAAGATCATTTATTAATAATGTAAAATCCACAAATCTATTTGTCGATAAAAATTAAAATGAAATAAATGGTAAAACCAGTTTACATGATTATCGTAAAACTTCCCCGTTCCCACTATCACTTAATCACTTTAAAAAGAAAATCAAAAATCAAAATTAGAGCATATATTCGCCTCCATAATCCCACGATTTCTTCCATTCAAACTAAAACAGTTACGATCCCTAAAGCTATATATAGACACGTATCTTAATCACGTTTCTGTTGTTGATGTTGGTTTTTTTTTTTTAAACAAATTGAAGATTAAATCATTTAGAAGCAAAACACGCTTCGTAACGAGAACGCCATAAATTCAAAGATTTCGTTACACACTGAAGCCAACAGTTTCCGATGAGTTTATATAAAACATGGCCTCTAGTAGGGAACATATCTTTTATTTTATTAAATTGCTTTTAGATGACTATATTATTTTTTTTTCTTTTATATGTAAATCTAATATCTTTTTGTTTTATAGACCACACCACTCAAAAGATAGAGGAGAAAGCACAAACAAAGGAGAAGACTTAAACAAGAAAAACACCAATGGTAAAATGCTAGGAGGGCCTCAAGACGCAAATGATATCTACCACCTTTGTATTGAGTCAACTTCACCCTAATAAAAGTTTTGTGTCTAGGACCATGAATATGAATTTAAATTTTATGTTTGTATTAAGTCGTTGAATATTTGGAAGACTATCAAGTTTGGGTAGATTTAACTCAATTCGTTCATTATATCAAGTGACATAACCAAATCCGCAAATATATGAAACAATATATGTTTCCTCACATGATGATTTACTAATGACTAATCTATTTACAAACTAGAATTTCATATATTTTTGGAAATATATTTTATAATAAAACATTATTTTCCGGTGCATATATATATAGCACCGAGTATAATACTAGTATATTATATTGCATACACACATATAGAATTATATGAGGCGTAAATAAACAGACTCGATCTATTATTATCATAAGTCAAGCGTATCGTAGTTCCTTCAACTAGAGAATCACCACTTAAACTAATAGAACATCAATACCCTTTGTTTAGCTCTTTAAACCCAACAAGTAAACTACTCAAACATGTTTAAGAGAATCATCAAAGCAAGATTTAAGAAACTCATTACCATAAAACGTTTAAGAACATAAAAGGGTTTAGGGATTACTTCTTCAATATCGAATACAAAGAGGTAAAACTTATCCTTTATGAATCAAAGAACGCAAGACAAGAAAACAAGAGTGTTTTGGTGATCTTCAAGGCTTCAACGGCACGGATAGAGAGGATGCTTTTGTCATGGCTATCATGGTCGTCTCTACTTTAGAATGTTGAAAAAGCTTGAAGACAAAAAGCTTTTAGGGTTTAGAACGAGTATTTATAGGTCTTGGGGTCCAGGAAGTCGGTTTAGGGCTTTTAACGTCAAAACTCGGCGTTTTGGTAAGTTGCAGGGATGAGAGGCTTCTGACCGATCACAAGGCTTGTGACCGGTCTCTGTGGAAGGCTTCACATTGATCATGTTAGTTTTGAATAAATATGTACCAAATTATTGCACGGATCAGAAGCCTCTCGTCCCTGCAATACCCGATGACGATACCCGCACGTTTGTATCAAACAGTCATTCATCCATATACACAGGATTCGGAAAGGTATTTATAAAAAAAGTTTGATATATGGTATGTTAGTCACCAACATATCCATATTGTTAGTTATAATTGTATATTGATATTTATCTTAAATTATGGATTTTTACTTACACGCGGAATAATTAATTTGGTACATATTTATTCAAAATCGACATCGGGTATCGTCCATCTCCAAAAGAATTGCCTAGATAACCCTTTTGACTGCATAATCTTAAAAAATGTGCATTATTAGGCCTGATAATTCATTCAGCTTAAATACTCGACTAAATCTTGCTTTGATAACGGTCTCGTCACTCGGTCACATTGATCGTGACTGATTCTCTAGACTAGCTCACAGTCCATTTGGTTCAATTTGAACACACAGTCTATAAGTGTCACGTGAGTAAACTAGCTCACAGTCCATCTATGATTCAGTAGCGTCTTAGATAAATGAATTCAGTTCAGAAGAAAAAGTTTAGTTTTTCTTTGATTGTGAACAAAAAATAATAATTCTATGGTTTGTGATGTTGCTAAATTTTCTTCAATTATATAATACAACACAACATTGGCTCCACATACAATTCCTCTCGAGTTTATTTGAATTTAGTACAGGTGACTTAAAATCAGATAATGTCGTAAGAACAACTCACACCTAAATGCACATATCATTTAATCGTGATGTAGCGGTTTGTACCGTGCTTTGCCCAATGGTCCTTCAGATCGACCGGGTTTGAAAGATCATGATGCCCCTCTGCAGCAAGTCGGCTTAGAAGCTTGTTGAACGCGCTTCCGCTCATTTTCCGTCCACCAACTCGAGCATGCCTTTTGTTGGGTAGTGCCGGCAAAGGATACATTGATAGTGTGGTTGTGCAACACGATGATTGCCAAACCTCCATTTTCCCCATTTGTAGCACTGTCTGAGAACTCCTGTACATGAACATACAGGTGGTGGCATCGTTGTCTCGTCATAAACAACTTGGTTCAGCCCCACCATTTCTTGACTTTTCCAGTCGGATTTCGATCCTATTAAGATATGCTTACTTGAGTCTTCTTCTGTGTAGTCATGTGTTGTCTTTACAAACATTATCTTGTTTAAGTCGTCATCGCTCTCTTTCTTCACTTTCCTCTGATTTTTTGGTCCTCTCTTATTAGCAGTGGTTTGTGCAGTCGCCTTTGGGTCTTTCACTCTTTTACCGCGCTTTGGTTTGGCAGATTCCAAGGCGGATCCGGCAGGTGGTGATGTCGGGAGACCATCATTTGGCTCCATTTCTCTGGTTTCATATGCATTCTCAGTCAACTGAGGTATGTGATGTTGTTGATGATGATGATGCATGTGCGGATGGTGCAAGTGTTTTACACCACGTGATATTTGACATCCTGGTGGACATGCCGACATATTGGTAGCAGCAGCAGTAACCATGGAGTTCTCACGGTATTGGAGAGCTGTAAGAGCACTGTCTCTCTCCATTATCGCATTGTTGCGCTCGGCAATGGCTGTGTCCCTCTGAAGAAACGCCATGTCCCTTTCAGCTACTGCTGCTTTTTTCTCTGATATCGCCAGATTCCTCTCCTGAATCGCTGCATCCCGCTCTGCTATTATTGACATAACTTGTTTCATCGACGGCTGATGCTGCATCAACCACTGTTTTATATCATGAACAAATAATACATTCCCATCAATAACAATCTCAAAGCTGAGGTATTTAGCAGCATGATGAACCCCCATAAGATGTATATATACAGCAGAGAAAGGAAAACAACTGATATAGGTTTGGGATTGTCAAGGTACCTGGCCCTGAGCTGCTGCTTTATGCCGACCATTCTCACGATGCCCACCATCATCCATTTGAGATATTTAAAGTCTTCACGATATAGCTTCAACAATAACCGAGCAAGCTAATAGAAAATCAAAATAAAAGACTGATCCATCTTTTCACCCTGCACATAGCCAATCATAAACATTATCAGAAGACCAATTCATTGTTAGTATCACTGAACTAAATGCATTCATAAACTGACTATGAAGCAAGAAAGTTTCTATATTTGAATTCAGCAGAGACAAAGTAATCAAATAGTCCACCTATAAGTCCTTCATAAGAAACTTTCAACAACACCACCCAGACTCAGGTGACCAAAAATAGCAACATAAATATCAAAATTGACAAATCCTAAACTCTGATTCACAACTCAGCTACAAGAAACACAGGAACATCAGATTCAGTCTCATGGTAGCAATCAGAATCACTAGCTAATTTGGAAAAACACAAAGACAAATTTTCCCAATCATGATTGATCAATAAGAACTCCAAAACGATGAATCTGGTGAAGTTTCACGTACTCTCCAATCCTAATTCTCCTAATCTAATGGTTAAAGAAACAGGTAAAGCTCAAACAAAATTAGCTTAAAGAGACTGCAAATGAATTCCTACTACACTAATCAAATCGAATCACTCGATTCAGCAATTAGGTTTAGCCAAGTCTCAATTACTTCAAATACGTAAGTTAATTGAACATAAACGAGCTTCGATTACTTGGAAATGAACTTAGAAACTTGCTAAGAACTTCGAGAAGCAGGTGAAATGAAAAGGGGCGGAGAGAGAGAAGATAGCTAAAGAGTAAGCAGAGTTTACCGGAGGGAATAGAGAGAGGAACAGCCGGAAGATACAGAGAGGTGACGGTGACGGTGACGGTGATGGTGATGGTGGTGATGAAGAGCAGAGAGATTGAATCCCTAATTTGAACTGCGAGAGAAAGAAAAATATCTTTGTGGAAGAAACCTATCGAGGAAGAGGAAGAAAGATTTTTTTTTTTTTTCATTGTTTTACGTTTGGTAAAAAAAAAAACTTAAATCTGTTACTTTTTTTTTCACCCTTTAGAAGATTGTATTCATTTGATCAAAAAAAAGAAGAAGAAGACTGTATTCCATTCCATGTAAAACTGAGAAAACTAATGATGAATGATAAAATTTATTTTGAATTAATTGATTAATGAGATTATATAACTTACTGAAGCTTTAATCACAGATTCACAATTCACAACTTGTAAAAAGTAATAGAGATAAGGCATTGTACCAAATTAGCTTGTAAAATGTGATACATGAATCAAAAGCTTTGAACCAAAGTTGTTACTGTAATCAACTAGGTAAATAACATGCGCTATGTTGCATGGTAAAGTTTGTAAACTAATTTCGTTTTTAATATTAGTAAGATTTGTAAGACCACTTCCATTAATAGGTTCTTACATGGAGTTCTAAACAATTTTGATTTATAAAATAATGATAAAATATTATAAAGGTTCTTAAAAGAGGAGAGAGTATTTAAATTTTTTATTGAGAATTCTTCTATTCTCTTTTAAGAACCCTTCTCATTTTCTTTTAATATCTTTTTTTATATAATATTTTAAAAACCCATCTAATATTTTTGAGAACCCATGGTTGGAGATGCTCTAAGACTACAAATGATTTTTTTGAGTTAACTAGGTTGAATATATTAATAAATACATGATATATATTACTTTTAAAATTTCAAAATGTAACGTATAGCCAATCTTTGTTTTTGTTTTTATTTTATTATATGTTTTAATTAGTATGTTTATAACTTCTTACAAATTTTTGATTTTTCTTTCTATTAGTATATGCATATTTTCAGTGACTATTATATACTTCAAGAACTTTTTCATTTTTCAGCTAATGATATTCATGATGCACAACAATAATTTGAATCGCATTAAAATATTTGGTAACTTGGGTGATATATTATTCTTCTTTCCAGAGCTGCCTTATCAAGCATATGCGACAACACATTCATACAAATAACGAACAAATATGGAGATAAGGAACATCCTTGCCATAAATTCCTTTCACTTCAGAATAGATCGGATAATTCACCATTCACTTGGACCGAGAAAGATGATGTCATAACACAAAGCTCAATCCATTTTACAAATTGGGGGGGGGGGGGGGCTTAGAGCCAATAGCGTGGACAGAAGAAAAGGCCACACCATTGAACTGAGTCAAAAGCCTTCGAGATGTCAATTTTTATTGCACTTCGAGATGATATTGTATCTTTATGGTAGTCTTTGACTATTTATGATGCCAGGAGAACGTTTTTCATCAATAACCTGTTCTTGACAAATGTTGACTGATTTGGCAATATGAAGTCCAGGAGGATAACCTTGAGTCGGCTATGATCTTTGATATTACCTTGTAAATGACATTGCATCAAGATATTGGGCGGTAATCCTTCATCTCTTTAACCTCTTTCTTCTTTGGTATAAGAGCTAATATGTTAGTATTCACTCCTTTTCAAATGAAACCATAGAGAAAATAAAATACTGAACTGCAACCACGAAGTCTTTCTTGACTATTGACCATATCTCTATTAAGAATTCCAAAGTATAGCCGTCAGGACCCGGAGACTTATCTCTTGGCATGGAGAACATAACGCCGTGAATCTTATACTCAGAGATTTCTTTGATTAGCCGTTCACCATCAACTTCTGAAACTCGAAATTGGATCATTCCCCTTATCTCGTTTATTGAAATAGTCTGGGTTATGAGCTAAAAAGTCTTGAAAAAACCTTGTCACTTCCTTCTTTATTTTCTCATGAGTATCTTCTATAGTACCATCAACACATGTAATTTCTTTTCTCGCAATTTGCACCTCGCATACCTATGCAAGCTTGTAGAAATATTTATTATTTTTGTCGCCCACCTTTAACCAATGGAGTTTTGATAATTGCTTCATATATTTTTCTTCGAGCAATGATACATGTAGCCAACGATCATAAGCAGTTGATTCTTTTCTCATTGCATGAGCATATGGGTTGTTGAAAGTCTCAACTTGACATTGACACATAATTAAAAACGCTTTGTTTGCCTTTTTTTTGTCAAGTCACCCAGCTTATTCTTACTCATCACTTTTATTTTTGGCTTTAGGACTTTCAACTTCTTTGAGAATCTGTACATCGCCTATGTAGAATGATAAATTGTTTCCCTATTATCCCAATATTCCTTAATCATCTTGAAAAACTTTGGATTAGTAGCCAAAGCATTCGTAAATTTGAATGGTTAAGTTTACGCATACTCGACTTGTTAGCCCTATTCTTATTCTACATCGAAGATGATCAGAGCAACCCCTGCTTCAAATACTTCACATGATTTTTGATACTCTACAATCCATTGGTCATTAATTAGAACGTGGTCTAGCTTTTTTACAAATAAGCTCATCATCGTCTTTTTATTACACCATGTAAACAATGGGCCACGAAATTTCATATCATTCAATGAGCAGTCTCTCGTCACATCTTGGAAGTCTCTCATTCACCTCCTAGAGAGAATGTTCTGCACCTTTTAAAATTTCATTGAAATCTCCAAAGATCAACCATGGCTTATCTCTAAACATAGGAGAATCTTGGTGATTTCGCATAGCTTCCCACACCACCTTTCTATCTACTACAAAGTTGCAAACATAGACAAATAAACAAAAGAATTTACTTTTTATGCCCTTTATTAGAAAAGAACAAGTGATCATCTAACCACTTGTACAACATGGTGTCTGCCTCACTTTAACACTCTAAACAATCCAGATCCGACCTAATCGATTAAATTCGTAACTAGACATGAACAACCAGTTGTAAAACACTGAGCATACAATACTCTCTACTTTTCTTAGTACTTGGAGTCTTGCAGTTCAAACTCGAGTTTCTTTGTAGCCTTGTTAGCTACATACAAAGTGTTCATCTCACCCAAACTCACGACCTAGCCAATTATATTCGAAACAACATATAAACATTTTGGTTAGATTATATGAGAAAATAGATTATATGCAAGATAAATCTATAATTTAAAATATAACTATCAAGATATTTTCATTCAATCCTGATTCATTCAAAATATCTTGAAAGTTTGCAAAATCGAAGAACATATCATCTGAAAGAGAAGAACACCGAGTGATAATATATAGTCATGTTCATGAGGGACATTTTGAAACCATGTTTGGTAGCTCTATACTTTCTCATAGATTTTGAAACAGTAGAATTTTCCAAGAAAATCTAGTATCCAGACTTGATAAACCTTTGTAGCTTGTTCATCTGTTGTTTTTTTTTTTTTTAATAGTAGCATGAATCAAAGTAAACTTTAGGTTTGAAGTTAAGAAAGTAAAAAATACTTACACAAACATCAGCAAGAATCATTTCCATTGTCTCTCATGTGTATTGAGTGTATTGAGTCCAAGAGTGAATGATTTTCATTTGGATTTTCCAACTTGTTTTAAAAGGTTTCACGTTAGCAAGTTCAGCGATAGGAAGACTAGCAGCCATTTTTGACGATAAAAGAAGACGAAATGAAGTTAAGCTTTGAATGATTGTGTGTTCTGAAAATTAATTATCAAGTTTATTATATATAGTAACCGGATTTAAAAGAACCCTTAATCGAATATGTTTGGTTTGATAGGATTAGAATATTTTGTTATTTTGAAATTAGGCAAATATAATAACTGAGACTAGGTCTTATTGAAAACTGTTACTACAAAATTGTCAAGGTTCCTTATATTTGGTGATTTATTTTGCAACTTTCTTAAAAGCAGTTTTCGAATATTTATAGATTTATTGATTTCTTTGTTGATTGTTTTGGCAATTATTCTATGTCGATTGTTTTGGCAACATTCTTAATGATTTTGCCAATTATTTTATGTAACAGATACGGGGAATATCGGTGTAAAATGATTTTTTTCTAACATTTATCAACAGTCCTATGGGTCAAATCGAGGATCCGCATCCCGGACCGTAAAAAGCTGGATAATAACCTTATCCAAAAAATTTAATTTACTCTTTGATTGTAAAAATACCAATATCTTTTTTTGTAATAGCGTGGACAGAAGAAAAGGCCACACCATTGAACTGAGTCAAAAGCCTTCGAGATGTCAATCTTTATTGCACTTCGAGATGATATTGTATCTTTATGGTAGTCTTTGACTATTTATGATGCCAGGAGAACGTTTTTCATCAATAACCTGTTCTTGACAAATGTTTACTGATTTGGCGATATGAAGTCCAAGATGATAACCTTGAGTTGGCTATGATCTTTGATATTACCTTGTAAATGACATTGCATCAAGATATTGGGCGGTAATCCTTCATCTCTTTAACCTCTTTCTTCTTTGGTATAAGAGCTAATATGTTAGTATTCACTCCTTTTCAAATGAAACCATAGAGAAAATAAAATACTGAACTGCAACCACGAAGTCCTTCTTGACTATTGACCATATCTCTATTAAGAATTCCAAAGTATAGCCGTCAGGACCCGGAGACTTATCTCTTGTCATGGTGAACATAACGCCGTGAATCTTATCCTCAGAGATTTCTTTGATTAGCCGTTCACCATCAACTTCTGAAACTCGAAATTGGATCATTCCCCTTATCTCGTTTATTGAAATAGTCTGGGTTATGAGCTAAAAAGTCTTGAAAAAACCTTGTCACTTCCTTCTTTATTTTCTCATGAGTATCTTCTATAGTACCATCAACACATGTAATTTCTTTTATCGCAATTTGCACCTCGCATACCTATGCAAGCTTGTAGAAATATTTATTATTTTCGTCGCCCACCTTTAACCAATGGAGTTTTGATAATTGCTTCATATATTTCTTCGAGCAATGATACATGTAGCCAACGATCATAAGCAGTTGATTTCTTTCTCATTACATGAGCATATGGGTTGTTGAAAGTCTCAACTTGACATTGACACATAATTAAAAACGCTTTGTTTGCC